CTCCCGAGTGTACCTATCCCACGTACACTCCGCCCGAGTGTACCTATTTTCGATGCCTATATAAACGGCGGTTAATGACAGATTTCAGTCATTTCTACATTGACACTAATCTGGACAACAGCTCAACACTTGACTTACTATCCAATTGGTTAGAATTTATTATTTAGTTCATTTTATATTCTATTTTGTTGTAGATATTTTGAATCACTAGTCATAATAATAATAATCTTATAACAAACTATTTATCTTTACATATGGATAATGAAGTTCATTCGTGTGATATACCATCACCATCAAACGAAATACAACCAACTGTACAAGAACAACAAGAGCGAAACGAGATAAAGAAGAAAAAATCTCATGGTAATCGTAAAGCACAGCGTCAACGGCGACGACTTCTTCGACAAGGTATAGATCCATATACAGTAACAAAAATGTGTTATCAAAACGGAACTTCTCAACAACAACAATCTCAACAAAATACTAATTCAACCACAAACGAAACTATAGTGGACCATTCGACAGCCATGATACAAAAAAATGGAATTATTCAACAACAATTTATGGATACAAAAACAGCTATGAAACTAAATCAAGATGTATCAACAACAAAAGAAGAGAATTCACAGATGGTTACAAATTATTCAGTTGATTATAAGAATATACCTGATGGTATCTTCATTCAAATGTTATCATCTGCTTTTCATAATACCGATAAACTTAATCTGCTGATGAATCAAGAAGAACAAATCTTGTTTATTCGTCAATATACAAATTTAATTGATCGATTATATTGTTTACAATTACAACAATCACAATGGAACTATTATCATCATATTGGTATAACACAAAATATATGGACAGCTCGTATGGCCAAACATTTAGCTGAAAAGAATTCCATATGTCATGCATATGGTAGATCAAAGACTTTCATTCAACAACGACAAAAACAAATAGAAAAACATCTTCAACAAGCACAGTATGCTGTACAACAGTTTGAACAAGAGATAATTATTAAAATGGTTCAACATGGTGATTATTCATTCGAAATGAAAGTTTTATTTTCTGTTATTGAAAAATTTGTGCAAAGAAAGCAACGATCAATACAATATGATTATGAATACAAAAGAGAGATACTAATTCTCGATGTAACTGATCATCAATTAGTGAACGAGTTTTTCAAAATCGAACCAAAGAAGTCACAAGTAAGAAGATAGTCTATTATATGTTAAATTGAACTTTATATTAAAATCTGCTTTAAATTTGTTAAGATTATATCAGCAAGACGAATCTGGCAAGCTACACAAAAACTAATGATAATCGAAGAAGATATTGCTCTCTTAGAATATCGTCTAACATCAACACAATTACAATCAGCATCCAACTTAATCGAAAATATGATTAATGATATTGATGCTCGTCTCAAACAATCTCATCAAACTGCTGAACAGATTAATGAAATTAAGAAACTTCAAGATCTAAAACATGATATTATTCATCAAGCTGTTCTTACTAGTCGTCGAATGGCAAATGATTTAACTAAAATTATTGAAAAGGAAAAAAAGAAATTTACATTACAAAATAGATTTATTCAATCAACAGCACAATGGCAAAAACTTGTACTTGATGCCATTGACAAAAGACAACAACATATGATAAAGCGTGTTAATTTCACTATCAAACACAAATTAATCAAACTTTCCAATGCATCGAAGGATTACAATCATAATCCATCGTAACACATATAATATGCCAACAATCAACAATTAGTACTTCCTCTCAACTTGACTTTGAATATACCTATCATACTAATCATTATTCTTGTTATCTAGCTTTTCTTTCTTTCTCTTTTCAACTTAAATAAAAGAACTATCTAATGAAACTTTTTTTGTTCTAGATAATATTTGAACAACGATATACTTATCAAAAACAATAATATTATAACTCTCAATAAGTTAGTATATCATAAATATCCGTATCATCTAGATTAAATATTCTTGTTAGCATAAAGAATACTTTATATATGGAGCTCGATTCATCTGATCGTCACAATGATACACATTCATTAGAAGCGACTGAACAACGGCCACAACAACAACAACAAAAGAAAAAGAAATGTCGTGGTAATCGAAAAATACAGCGTTATCGAAAACAACTGTATGCACAAGGCTTAGATTCAGAAACAGTCAATAAATTGGTTGAAGAAAAACTTCACAATTCACAACAACCACAACAACAACAGAATCACGAAGCAATATCATCGAAGACAGATACTACACAAAATCTGAAATCATATATACCATTGAATCGAGTATGTTTATAATTTTTTCTATTACTTTCTATAAGAGTATCGATACTATTTCATTTAGCTTACATTGCCCAACTTAAGTAGTGGCAGTAGTATCGATAGTATAGAAATGACACCACAACGAAAAAGATTTTTGTTAACACCAACACCCACTATCGAAACAAGAACAATACTGGATAAACCATTAAGTCATTTATCAGTATCACCAACAAATATGAAGAAAAAGAAAAAAACAACTACAACATTGTCCAACTCAAGTAGCAGCAGCAGTAGTATCGATAGTATAGAAATGACACCAAAACGAAAACGATTTTTGTTAACACCAACACCTACTGTAGAAACAAGAACAATACTGGATAAACCACTAAATCAATTATCAATATCACCAAAAAAGAAGAAGAAGAAAAAGAAAAAAACAACTACAAGAAATGTTCGATTAAATAATAACAACGATGATTTATCAATGAACTCTTCCGAAAACTATAAACCATCCTATTTAAAAGTGTCTGATCGGATATTTAAGCAATTATTATCGAATGCAATTGACAATGGTCGTGAAATAGTTTCATGCTTGGATACAAATGAAAAACTTCATTTTGTTCGTCAACTAACTGAACTTACGAATAATCTTCATTTCAAAGAATTACAACGACAATTATGGCTAGAATATTATAATATTAGTATCAAAGATGATAATTGGACCTCAACAATTACTAATGGATATGCACATCAACATAATACATGTCGAATGTATAAACCAAAAAAATCACTGATTGAACTGCGTCGAACAAAAATTGCCTGTCAAACACAAGAAATAGAAAATGAATTACAGGCTTATTCATTAAAATTACAAGAATATAGTAAGCAATGGCAACCATCTATTGATATTGCTGTTCTATCAAATGCCATCAATGAATGTGTTACAAGTGGTCAACGACGATTAAAAGATGAATTTAATTATAAAAAAGAAATGTTAACATGTAATTCAAAAGATCATCAGTTAATTGCAAAGTTTTATAAATTAAAACCTAATGAAGAACAAATTCAATTGGCGAAACAAATTTGGCAAACCACAGCTGATGAATTAAGAACAAGAGAGCAATTAGAAATTCTTCGACAACGAATTTCATTAAAACGATTACCACCAAAAACCGATGAAATAATCAATCAATTACTAGATGATAATCATAAAACACTTTCAAATCCTGCTCTTAATGAAAATCAACGTGCTAGTTTCGCATCACGTTGTTCAAAAACAATCGTACAATGTAAATTCAATTTAATGATAGTACAGATTGATGAATTCGAAACAATGATACGTCAGAATCATGCAACATTAATTAACTTACAAGATAAATTATTGAAATTAAATCGAGAACAACCACAACTATACACAAGTTTATTAATAGATACAATAGAACAACGTCGACAAACAATGATCAATCGATTTATTCGAATGCGACAACAACAATTGAAGACTTTTTTCGACGAAGCTCCGACGGTAGACAACAGCAATTAAATACACAAAATCACCGTCGGAGCAAAATCTCTTTTTATACAAAAATTACTGCTACATTACCATTTATTGAAACAAATTTAAATTTAACTCAAAAACAAATATCTATGTTAATGAATGGTTTGAAATATATTATACCATGTCAAAATCGACTTTCTCGACAATCAAAACGAAAGAAAAATATTGAGGATACCTATGATACAATATCCGCAAGAGTTAAAAATTGTCTTGGTAGTAATCAAACGTCTATTAAAGATGAACGAGCTAATAACGCGTTTTCAGAATTAAAACAACTTATTTCTGCTTTATATGAAAAACCATTATCACGAACATTACTTCGACGGGCTCGACGTCAACATAAACAAATTAAATATCTTCAAACATTTTTAAGTAATCGACCTGATATTATTATATGTCAAATAGATAAAAGTTCAGGATTCTATATTGGAGATGCTACAACAATTGAATTAAAGGCATATGAATATATGAGTACTACGAAAGCTTATAAAGAAATTGCCAATGGTCATTGTCCATTAGCCGATAATTTACGTAGTGTACAAACGTTACTTCAACATCTCCTACAACAAAAAGCAATTACTAAAGAATTATATGATAAAATATATCCAAAAATGGATAAATTAGAATTAGCCCATTTTCATGGTCTACCTAAAGTACACAAGGTAATTTGTTTTCTTTTGTTGATATCATAATTTCTTTATATTAATATCTTTGTTTAGCCTAATATGTCGTTAAGACCTATTATTGCGGGTATTCATGCACCAGCAACAGCCATTTCGAAATTTTTGAATAAGCTCTTAGCACCTGTCTATTTAAAAGTGGCGCGTCAAACAACATTTATTCATAGTATTGATGTAGTTAAACAATTGGAAGCATATGTACACAGTGATTGTTTGAAGACGGCAACAAAGTTCATTATTGCTGATGTCAAAAATCTCTATACAATGATACCACGACAGGGTGCATTAGAAACATTATTACGATTTTTAGAGGAACATTCTAACAATGGTAAAATTGGTACATTATCAATAGATACTATATTACGACTCGCTCGGCTAATATTAGATACGAATTGTTTTGCTTATAAAGATAAATATTATCAACAAATTCATGGTGGTGCAATGGGTTCAGCATTTACACAAGTTTTAGCTAATATTTATATGTTAGAATGGGAACAAGATTTAATTCAACATCAATTAAAACATAAAGAAATTTATGGCAGGTTTGTTAGATACAATAAAGAATACTTTTTATAATTATACACATTTTTCTGTTTGTATAGATATATCGACGATATATTTATGACAACAAATCAATCATCAGATGAACTTCAAATTGTATTAGAAAAAGCAAAACATAAAGATGTTAATATCGAAATTGAATGTACTATTGCTTCAACAGTTAATTATCTTGATGTTACTATAACAAATGAAGAAGGTCAACTGAAAACGACGGTTTATCATAAACCAACAGCTGAACCATATTATCTACCATATAGATCAGATCATCCGCATAAATATCATCGCAATATACCTTTTAGTGCTTTAACACGTGCTGCACGTTTATGTTCAAATATTCATGATTTTAATTTAGAACGTCTTCGTATTGAAATGTCTTTATTATTAGGACAATATCCTCTAAAAATGATTACTAATGAATTTCTTCGATTTTTTCAAATGAATAAGGCTATGCCTGTATTTCAACAACTTAATCAACAAGCCTATCAAGAATTACATCAACAACTGCTCCATCGAACAACACAAAAAGAAACGAAATCAAATGATAGAATGAAAGATCCTGTAAAACATCCAGCAATCTTACAGAAGAAACCATGGGATCGAAACAAAATATTCCTACCCTATCCATATGAAAGTGGACCATTGGCGACATTTCCAAAAGAATTTAATTCATGGTGGAATAAACATTATTTGTTTCAAGGATCTCATCTACGACACATCAAACTCCAACTAATACCAAAAACTAATGCTACATTGGCACATACATTGATTCGTAAAAAACCTCCAAACAAAATATTACGATTATCAGAACAAACAAACAACTAGATACCACACAACGAAATTTCATTAAACATTCCTCAATTGTTTCATTTAAATAACTTGTCTTTTATATATTCACAATAATAATACTCACATAAACTTTAATATATACTATATAATCATATCCAAATCATATATTCTCAACTACTAAACTAATATTCTTCTTGTATATTCTAGATAATCTATCAACACACAACGAAACAATCCGATAATGCAGAAACTAATAATAATCATCTACACATCGACTACTAAGAAACAATCAATAAACACATCGCCTTAAATCCTACACTGTTACAACCACATTCTATAGAAACTATAGTCGTGTGATGCTTAGAATTTGCTTATCTCTTTCATAT